CGTTTTAGACCTGAAGGATTTTCCTTTCTCAGTTAGAAAGCCGGGCAATATTTTGTGGTTACTTCTGTCTTCAAGGGTTTTCAGTGTGAAAATATTGGCATTCCTCCACTCCCCCATCCCTCTTCTTTTTCCTCGTGAATTTTTGAATGAGTGAGCATTTAGGGCTAAAAGTCCAGGAACCTGAGCCAGATTTGTGAGCACTAGTCCAAGTCTCCACCCTGGAAGACAGTCGTTCCCCCCCAATCCACCACCTCAGCGCCCCTCCCTCTGCCTCTTAACATAAACAGAACAGCTTGTATTCCATGTCTGAATAGTAAACCTGCTGTCTAAAGTTTGCTTTAATATTTATGCGTTCAGCACGGCTGCCTGTTTTTGAGTTCCATCAAAGCCTTTATTATAAAATGCTCTCCTACCAGCTCCTCCTCTTCCTCTCTCCGCATCTCCTCTCTCTCTTTCCCTCTCCCCCCACCCCTTAGTTCTTCCTTCATCTAGCACCTTTTTCCTGCATCCCTCTTTTCCTGTCTTATACACACACACACACACGTACACCCACAGACAGACAGACACACACACACACACACACAGCAAAGAGAACTCTTTCCCGAGACCTCTGGGAGAAATCTGTTCAATATTTATAAACTGCTGCAGCAGCTATAATAACCAGAGGTAACTGGCACTACCAAGATTTGCTCCAAATAGGAGTCTACTCTAAAAACAAAGAATGAGGAGGGGTGAGGGGTGGAGGGCGAAGGGTGAGGTGTGTACAGTTGCTTCAGGCTACCAGGGCCGTGTGAGAACATGAGGCCGGGGCAGCAGACCTGGTTTCTGGGCCCAGCTCCATGGCCGGCTCACTGTGGGACCCTGGCCAGTCATCTGCCCCTCAGGGTTGCAATAAATTTCTGCGAGCCCTGCCAGCGCTGACATTTGGCGACCTGGGATGCCGAAGGTGGCTTCAGCTGGGCCACCCCACATCTGTCTGGCTTTGCCACTGAGCCCCTTTACCACACATGTTCATTCTTTCTAGAGTCTTATCTTTAATGAGGACTTGAGCCAGATGGGCCAGATGCCCTGTGGGCCCAGGCGGCTTTGGACTGCTCACAGAGCAGGAGTTGCTGCTCAGAAGATGGGGAGCAGGCAGGGTAGGGTGTCGCTAGGGTAAGAGAATACCACTTAGGGACCAGCCTCGCCCCTAGTGGCTTTTTCAGTACCTTCTTACCTAACTCACATGTGTTCTGGTTTGAATTCCAGCTCCTCTGCCCTGCTAGACTCTGGCAAGTTGCTTAATTTTTCTAAGAAGCCTCCGTTTCACCTGTAAACAGAGCTGACATTCTCTATCTCATAGGAATGCTACAGAGATTACAGGAAACAGCATGCGTAAATGCCTGGCACCCAAGCATTGGGAGAGTACATCAGTGCCCATGCCAGTGGGTGTAAGAGGCCACTCTGCTTCCAGATGCCACTAACTCAGTTTCCTGGCCAGGTACCAGTGTGACATCCTGTTTCCAGAGAATGGGTCTGACTTTATTTACGCCCTCCCCACAGATCACACAACAGAGAAGCTTGCCCTCTGACAGGACGGGTGTTCTGCGTACAGTAGTGGAACGCACTTTTCCTAAGGCCTTGGCCTAGGTGATTCTGCAAGGAAATTGGTCCAGACGGTGGTTTCCCTTGAGTTTGTGCATCCTGGGAAGAGATGAGGTCCCTCCAGGGAAGCTGGCTGTACTTTGGAAACTCAGTGCCCCAAAGGATCGGACTGTTTCTCCGTTTCCTCCCTCCTGGGCCTGAGAATACATTAGGAAAGCAAAGTGTTAGTTCAATCCATTAAGACTCTTGCTTCCAGACCTTGCCTCCAGGGGTATTCGATGCTATAATGGTCATTTCTCTCTCCCCTGGGGCAGCGACTGTCAGTCACATGTGAGTAAGAGATACCACTTACATGCAGCCCCGTGGCCTTCTCCTGCAGCTCCCTGCTTTGTTGCCCCCCAACCCAGCCCTCTCTTTAAGGGGCCTTAATCGGAGGCATCACAGCCATTTGCTGTTGGAGGTGATGGATGGGCCTAATGGAAGAGGATGATTTCCAGGGAGAGACACACAGCTGGCACATGTCTGTGTCCCAAATCCCATTTCCCGGCACATGTCCAAAATAATAAAGAGAAAGGAGGAAAAAAGAAGAAGTGGCAGGAGCAAAATCCTTTCCCAAGCATGGGGTTTGGGGGGCTGGTTGCACACTTTCACTTTCTTCCCTCTCCCCACCTTTGTGGGGTTAGATCAGCAGATGTTTTGTTACACAAAAAGCTCTTACCAAAGGGTTCTCTTCATCTTCTTCACAGACCAGGCCCCCAGGGCAGTAATGCAAGTGGCCATACATAGAGTCAACTTGTGAGAGAGCTTGTTTGCCTGTCAGCTGTCAGCTGTTATCAGACCTCTGGGTGGCTCTGGGCCAGGCTCTGCTAGAACTGCTCTGAGAACAGGACAGGACCCCTACCTGCAGGAAGCTCCCAGTCTGGAGGGCAGCGGTCAGGGAGAGAGGCTGGTCTGGAAGTCGGGCCTGAGTGTGGTGGAGACAGAGGAGGAAGAGACTGTCCAGGAGGGCTGCCTGGAGAAGATAGCTCTGAG